TCTACCGCATCAAGTGGCGTAGCACCAATGTCTGGTACGTTTTCAGCTTCAGTGGACCCCTTCGCTTTTATTTTATCCAATGTCATGTCTGTACAAATAACTGAATCAACAAGAACACACATGCTTGTGTAGTGGTTAAAATCAGTAATGGCTACATACAATCCATACAAAACTAATCAAAACACTAATCACATTTATGAAAATAACATGGCGATTATACATTGTACATTACAAGCATCTTTAAATTGTTTAATATGATCAAACAGAATAACTGATGGTAGTGTCACAAATCCCGTTTGAGGCTTCAGAGGCTCTGAGAGATTCTAATATAGATCAGAGAAATGGTTTATTCAGCCAAAAGTATTAATGTAGTTCTAATTAACAAAGTAAATAATTAATAATGCTAATAACATTCCAAAATTACTGATAAAACCAAGCTTTTAATTTGAGGACTTTGCATATGCTGGGACAGTGGGTACTTAGTGCCTACACAAGCAAATTTACAAAACAGAGGACATTTATTCAAAAAATTTAGAAATTAACCTAGAATATTTAGTGGTGCAGCCTAATTGCCTCAGGTTTACTCACATAATAAAGCTGGAAAGTGAAAGTTGCAGTTAAAAAGGAGTTTGAGTGAGATGTTTCATCATAGTTCTGTGGCACAGTGAAACACCTGGTTACTGCCGTCTACAGCAGTCTGCCATTTAGAAAATAAATAGCAACAGCAGGATAAGGAACAGAGGGCAGAGCGCAGGGGAGAGGTGCTGTGCTATACTGTAGATGCAAATGCCGCTTTTTGCATCTCAAATGATCAGCCTTCATGACTTGTAAATAAACATGCACAATAAATACACCCTACGTCCCATGCCAACACACACTCACATCTTTAAATACCCCGGTTCTGACGACTGAGATAGCACTGCTCATCAAATTTATGCGAGTGAGCCCAGGCTAAATTTACAGCCAACTTACGCAATCCTCCCTGGTCTCCCTCCTGTCTATACAATGGCTTAAAATCTCACAGTTCTCAAAGCATCCCAGCCCTCCCCAGATGCCACCCCCACAGTATACTCTACAACTCCAGCACTATTCCTGTACCAGCCCCCACCACAGTGGCACAAAAATATCAGCACCTCCAAGAACAGACGCCAAGCCTGTCAGAGCATCATCACATCCCACAGGACAGCTTGGGGGGGAGGAGGAGGGAGGATGGCATGGAAAGAAGAGAGGAAGAGCAGGTGGAAGGATGAGCACAGCTGCTGTCGAGAGAAAAGAATCAACAGAGACAAAAGAGAAAATAAAGACTCCATCTCTCAAGTAGGAGACACGGTTTACATTTATATCCTGGTAGATCAGCCACATACTGTTTCTTTTTCTTTTGAGACGAGCCCACCTCGCTGAGCTGGTGCCCCTCGGAGGAGGTGTGATCTGTTATATTACAACATTTATGAGGACCACAAGACGATAACAAACATAAAACCTGTTGGCAAATGATTCTTTTTATGGAGTCACCCTTACAGCAAAGCTGGTTTACTAAATGGGGAAAGTGGGCACCTGCTCTGGGACCCCCAGAGCCCAGGTTTCCTCCACATGGCTCTTTCAATTGATCACAAATTTGTTGAAAATTTGGACCGCTAAAGTAAAATGTCATCTATGAGGAGTGCTCCATCCCTCATCTTGTGACCCCTAATTTTAAGATGTTAACTCTTTTGGTTTATATTTGATGCATTTGAGGTTAAATTGCTTTGTGTGTGTGTGTGTTTCAGGTAAGTAATGCTCAAAAAACCTACAGCATGGTACCGTTATTTAATTATAGGAGTATGGTAAACCAACACCTACTGTATTTCCATCCATCCATCCACTATCTATAGCACTTCTTCCTGAAAAGGGTCGCAGGTGGGCTGGAGCCAATCCCAGTTGACACTGGGGAAAAGGTGTGGTACACCTGACACAAGCAACCATACTCATTCCTACAGGCAATTTAGAGTCACCAGTCAACCTAAGCTGCATGTCTTTTGACTATGGGAGGAAGCTGGAGCGCCCGGAGAGAACGCAGGCACAGGGAGAACATACAAACTTCAAGCAGAAAGGACCCGGGTCGGCCAGGGCTTGAACCCGGAACTGTTTTGCTGTGAGGCAACAGTGCTAATCACTGCATCACCATGCTGCCCTAACACCTATTTTCATTACTTTTGTTGATCATTATTCCCCGATACTTGCGATGATGTTCTATTCTTTCTTGTTATGACTGACCAACAGTCAAAACCCAAAATGTTGTTTACTATCACAGAAACCTGGGAAACCTAACAAATAAAAGGCATTTTAGAGGTTGGAATCATTGAATTTTGGGAATTTTTGTTTCACAGATTACTTAAATGACAACTACAAAAATGTTTTCCAATTCATTTTTATCAATTAGCTTAGCAACTAATCATTTCAACTGTCAAGCTGTATAGGTTGATCGGTGACTCTAAATTGCCTGTAGGAGTGATGGATAGATGGGGCAATAATGAAACTGCCATATACTGTATTGTGGGGGTCAGTAGGGATCCAACACCCCCCAAAGCCTCTATGAGGCTAAGTCAGCCATGCCAGCTAACACTTAAAAAAAAAAAATCTTCCCCATTTACTGTAAAAACTTGAAACTGGTCTCTGTATTTTTTATAATTGCCACACAACTATGTGAGTTTAGTTATCATTGGTGGGGTGGCTGTAGCTCAGGAGCAGGGTCTCCTCCTAACTGGAAGGTTGGTGGTTCAATTCCCGGCTTCCCCAGTCTACATGTTGACGCTGAACCCCTAGTTGCTCCTGGTGATATTATTGGTGTGTAGGTGCTTTGAGCACTGTATGCTGCAAAGCATTGAAAAGTGCTATATAAGACCATTTACCAAATAATTTTTGTATTCCTTTTCTACCATTCTTTTTTCCATTTGTTTTATATCTATTTAATTCTCTACCACTTGTTTGTCTATAATCTGTTTGTAAATTTAATAAATAATGTTTGAAAGGAGATAATCACACAAAGGGAGGACATTTTGTCTGTCCTGACGTTTGAAAGTTCATTTCAGGGATTCAGTTGTAAGGCTGAGGTGAGTCATGTAAATGACAGATTCAAGGTTAGCTGTCACATAATGGTTTATTGACTGATTCTTAGCCATGCTAGCAGAATGACTCTAGGGTGGCAATGTCAGTTCAAACTGAACAGCTGTTGAAAGTTTGAACAGATGTTGATGAACCCCAGAGGACCTACCCTGTTGACTTAGGTGATCCCCTGAGTTTTATTTATTTATATATTTTTATCTTTTGTTCTAGCACAGTGATGAGGTTTATATTTGTGGTTTTGGATAAAACATTTATGCTGGTTGCAGGATGAATTCTCACTTGAATGATCACTTAAATTTACATCTAGCGCCATCATCAGGTCAAAATTTTTTAATTGTCCAGTACTTTGTTTTCTGTTTAAATACCTGCAAAACTAATGGTATTCCTATCAGTCTCAACTGTACTTTGTATGTTGCTAATTAGCAATTGTTAGCATGCTAGCACATACACTAAAATTGTGACCACAGTAAAAATGATTTTTTGTAAATGTCCATGTATTAGCACTTAGATGAGAGAGCTGCTGAGTCTGAGTTCACCCTCACAGAGCTGCTAGTGTGACTGTAGATGCCTACTTCTGTGTTGACAGTAGGACAGTACACATCTGGCCAGTGAGGCCAAAAATATTTGACATGCCTTGGTCAGGCCACACTTGTCACAGTGGCTGACATCCTGTAGACAAGGCTGGACAAAGTGAGCCCCTGTCCTGGAGCCCCAAAGCTGCCATGTTTACTCCATTCAATTTAAGTAAAAATAATTTGATCAGTAAAACATTTGTCTGAAATGTGTACCACACTCTGTAGAGGCCCAACAACTAATTTTTGCCCCAGAGCCCCTCAGGAGGCTAATCTGGATATGCCTACAGAGCTGGACACAGACACGTCAAGGCTGCTGGAAAGAGCAGAGATGGAGGAAAAGAAGCTCAATATTTAGAGAAATAAAAATAAAACCATAAACCTGGTAGATGTGGAAAGGCCAGACACTGAGAGGATTCATAACAATCACTGTCTATGGGACCTTCCTGTCTCGCTTTGCTCTCCCTCCCTTTACTTTCTTTCCGCCTCTCTCTGTCACAATGTAAATGGACGGTTGCCAAGGGCAACCTGTATGCACTCACCTAATGATGAACAGGAAGTGGTGTGTGAGCAAAAATGCTATTAATAGCAGCATGTGTAGAAAGGACATTTGCTCACTCCCGGATGTGTGTGTGTGTGTGTGTGTGTATGTGAACACCTGTGTGTGTGTGTGTAAGCAGCCAGCATGTAACAGGGAGGAGGAGGATGCAGATTGTAAGACTCAGACAGTTACTAGAGAGAACAGGAGTGGGGACTAAGAGTGAGGATGGATGGAGGGAGTGAGGGAACGTAGTGGAGGAGGGGGTGAGTGTGTGTTGACGCTGTACGTGGCGTCAGTGCGATAAGAATAGAGATGGTGCGTGTAGCGCTGCTGAGACATCACCCTCAGTGGGGCAGGCAGTACTCTGAGAGTATATATGTGTCAATAAGTGCATGCGTGTGCACAGACATCACTCAAGGTATGTGTGTCTGGATGAGTAAACTGCTGGGGATGCAGTGATTTTTTTCAGCTGTGTAACAATTCATTCAAGTATCATTTTTAGAACCATTTTATGTTCTTGTCTCAAACAAATTATAATTGCATTGAAAAAAACATGTAATAAAATTGGCTTTCAAAAGAATTTTATTTCATAGACAAGAACAAAGGTTTAAAAGAAGTCATAAGGACACCTTGAAACTCATATTTGTTGTCATGAAATCAATTCAGTCACTTTTTTGATTAAGATAGTATTATGTGACAATTATTAAATTGTAAGTCTGCTTATAAACAGATAATTTAAAAAAATAGGAAGAGAGGATGATATCCACAGTCAAAGACAGTGAGTGTTCTTCTTTGTGGTTGGTTCTTTGGTGTTTATTTGTGACCATTCTGCATCTCTTTCTACTTGTTTCATGCATTTTGCATTCCTTCTGTTGAGCCTCTGTAATCATCTGAATGACTTTCCACCATGAGACAGTTGGTCCCTGAGCCTGGTAGGCTGTACAGTAATCTTTCCATGATGATGTATATTATAAGATATGATCAGCGTTATGAGATATGAGACTGATACATGATGATTCAACAATAAAACAATGTCATAGCGAAGCATTAACTTGATATAGCATTAGCTGTTGTCTTGTAATAAGGAACATATGGAAGAACAATGTTGAAGTACAGTTTAAGTTTGTTGTCTGTGTTTTCATATCAGCAGTAGACTGTGGCTCTGCTGGGTCCATGTGAAGGTCCTCTTCATAAAGTGTCTTCAAAGACTCATAAACTGAAGCAGCCACTATGGAGGAACCGCAGGTGGACAGAGAGCAGAAACAAAAAGTCAAAAACCTGTTGGGGTGTGCGTCAGAATGAACACATAGCAGCGCCTATTTGTCCAGATACTCACAGCATTGATCCCTCTGTCCTTCACCTCCTGACTGGTCTCTGCTTCATACAGGGCTGAGGAGACGAGGGGAGGAAATGACTGCAGACAGTGTCTTTGAAAAGGTGCAGCACTGAACTACATCAAGCTAGTTTTGATTTTTAAAACAAAAGTCCTGGCAAGTGTCCTGAGTGTATTTAGTGACAGTCTACATACACATGAAACTTCTGCACACAGACTGTGCACACGTAGGTCACCTATGGACAAACTGCAGTCTGTCTTTAGGCCACATGTGTTACACACTGGTCGGCCCACCATGTTTCTGTCTCGTTCTAGTCAGATGTTCCCTGTGACTGATACATTATTATAGGACATTATTAGGTTGTTAATACTGATGTAACAGTGTATGAGCAGCATTTTACTGATGTCGTTGCTCAAGTTGGAGCAAGGTTTAAATACTTTACTCATTAGATTGTTAGTTTAGTCCAGCAGTTCCCAACCTAGGGTTGGTTAGATGATCAGTGGGAGAGGAAAGAAGAAAAAATGAAGTTTTGCTACAAATCTATATTAATGTTTGGGATTTTTCCACTCATGTAAATGAAACCTAAACATCTAAGATGACGTCAGTTACATGTATTTGAGTCTAAAAACATTTCTTCTGAAGTAGAAAAATATAAAGTAGCATAAAATGAAAATACTCAAGTACAAGTACCTCACAACTGTATTCAAGTACAGATCATGAGTAAATGTACTTACTTTCCACCACTGCTCTTATGTCCAAAATGTTTTTTTTTTTTCACCCAAGCTGTGTGGTTAGTATTGATCTTACAGTACTCGTCACCTACATGACACTTTATGTGCCTGTACTGTCTAACAAAGCCTAACGATGGTACAAACATACAGAAATTCATAAAAATGTTTAAATGAAACAAATGAGGAGGGTAATTATGCACAGTAGTGCATTGATGTATGTGTGTGTGTGTGTATGTATGTTACCAAAAAGCTTGCGCAGCCTGGTGAAGCACGACACAAAACAGTGGAAGGGCAGTTGAAGTGCTCCATATGCAAACCGCTCAGAGAGCAGCCGGACTACCTTGATGTCACACTGCATTCCTGGGAAACAGAGGAAGGCGTGAAGCCAAACAGCAGCACCATCTGCATGTGGATAGGTGTGTGTGCATTTGTGTGTATACATGCATACCAACAGCATCCAGCACTGCACTGAGTTCAAAAGGGCTCATGGTCCCAGAAGAGTCTTTGTCAAACTGGCAAAATATGGACTGACAAAAAAAAAAGAACAACATATAATGTGATAATGACACAACATTCCCTCTTTATCTGTATTTAACACACATGGTGTGTTTCCATAACTTCAGGGGACATTACATGGACATTCATTTCCTGGAGACTTAACCTAACCTTAACCATGGTGACTTTAGGGTATAGTAAGGTCTAGACTTTACAATATTAAAGGGAAAACCCAACAGTCATCACTCTAAACTGCAATGATTTACATTTTTGGGACTTGTTTGTCTTTATCAGGATGTCGAGTCGCCACAATGTGACAGTGTAAACAGGTTTATGTCCCCACAACATGAGTAATACCAGCCCATACACATATGCATACACCGAGCTGTACCTGCAGACTGCGCAGACTGGACAGCAGGGTTTCTGCTTGTTCACGGTCAAGACGGGAGCGCCCTTTAGTCTGCCAGCAGAGTTAAGGGTCTCAACAGGACAAAAGACAGAGAGGTCAAGTTGTGAGGAGGAAGAGTGAAAGTGAACAATAGGCTGGCAGGATGACTCAGCCGGAGGGCTGGGGATCAAATGAACAAATGTGTGAAACTAGCACAAATCATTCACATTTTTAACAGCGGAAGTTAAGATATTAGTTCATGACAAATGTGTAATTTCTGTGAGACTGAGTTAAAACCAGATGTATGCATAGCATAGTCAAACAAGGACAGTACAGAGCTGCAAGGACACTGGAGTGTGAGTTATATTAAAGAACAAACTCAGGACAAAAGGATACATCCTCTCCAAAGATGAGCTGTTTGCATGTCTCCAGCGTCAGATGGTATTCTTTGTTAAGAACTGGGATTAGGAAAGAAAAGTACAGACTGATGCAGAGAAATAATATAATTCTTTAAACTGAGAGAAGGTGAAGGTGAGGACAAGTGTCACACTCTTATTACTTAACCAGTCTCAGTTTACTTTATGTGACTGCAGCTGTGAGCCTCTGTCTAGACTGTGACCCTTGTGCCTCTGTCCAGCTTTCAAACTAACATATCGCTACTTTGCTACCATCTAGTGGCCATGACAGGGATTACACAGTAAAAGATCACTGTACATGTGATCATATTCTAACCTGAGTTCACAAGGTTCATGAGCTCCTTGGCGTTCAGCTTGTCATCCTGCCAGGAAGACAGAGGAAATCGGTTTCGACTGTTTAACCAAAGGCCCCAAATGTACATTTTCATTAGTTAAGGTAATGTAGGTAATGTGAGGAGGATGGATGAGCAATTCTTACTGGGCCGGCCACCTCATCAAAGGTCTTCTGAATTCTCATTTGATCCTCTGAGGAGATGGGAGTCACCATAACCTGTTTGGCACAAACATGTCACTCAAATGTAAAATTTCATTCTTGTTTGTCATTTTTATAATATATGATGATATATATAGAAGTATAGTATAACAGATGTGTGATCTTACTGGAAGGTAGCCAGAGGTGCAGGTAAAGTCGTGAGACCTGGAGCACAAAGATCACATTCGTTTGTTAATGTTGCTTTCTTAAATCACACATTCACACAGTGTGGACTTTCCACGCTGCCACAGTTACACTGTCTGAAAACATTAGTGGTTCACCATCATGGTTCCAGTTTCTCAGATGTGAGGTTTTGCAGTTTTCTTCGTTATTTCAATATTCAATAATTATTTCAATAATTCTGTTCACAAACTACTGGATGGCAGAACAAAACATTTGATGGCGTCACTTTAGTCACAGGATAATTGTTCACTTTTCACCATTTTCAAAAGAGATCAAAATAATAATATTTATAATTCCAGCCTAATATAAAGTAATTGAAAATAAGCTCTATCTCAATCAACTACAACATTAAAATGCTGTTTAGTACAATAATAATAACTATGTGATGCTAATATATAAATAGTAAAAAGCTTACATTTCTGCATTGAGTACTCAGTTTTCTGCACTGAGTACTTTAAGTACTGACATATTGTACTTTTACTTAACATTCAATCAGAGCTTTAATAATGTAATATTAATATTTCTACATAAGTAATGGATCTGAATATTTCCTCCACCACTGCTAATAGGCCACTACCTTAAAACATCTGGTTGGGTGTGAAGGGCTTTTTAATCTATGACAATGCATCATATTAAGTCGATCATATGTTTTATGTCAAATCAAAGTAACCACAGCTGTTAAGTAAATGTGTTTAGAGGAGTAAAGGGGGCTGTAGCTCCCTCTGACATCTGATGCAGCAGAAGCATAAAATCCCATGAACTGTAAATACTCAAGTAAAGTATGTCAAAACTGTATTCAAATACTTGAATAAGTGCATTTTGTTACTTTCCACTACTGGAAAATGAAGATACTGATTCTAGTCAGAACGAGTATTCACACTGTTCTCAGCTGTATAACTGACTGTTGTTGCTGACAGAAGCCAAAACACACAGTTTCTCTTTTAGCCAACTGTCGTCAAGACTAACTGCATTTTTCTAAATTATACAGTACTATAGTAGGGTACTCACTCTGAGTTTGAGTGTGGGTACAGGGGAGTGTGGGTGACTGACTGTGCTGCTGAGAGTGAATGTGCAGGATATGATTGAGGCAGGCTGTGGTGGCCTCATGAAGTGTTGTGTTTGTGACAGAACAAAAATGACGTAGAGCTGAACAGTCTTATTTTGATTTTGATCCCCTCTCTTGGGTCGTTTAGGTGCTCAAAGCTACATTTCTGTCATCTTACCCCAGAGTGTTTCCTCTCTTGGAGAAAGTGCGGACCAAGAACTCTCCAGGCTGGTTGGGGTCCTCAGTGAAAGCCACAATGATGTAGTTACCCGGGTCCAGGCGCAGCTTGCACACCACATTCCTGTGGGACAAAATCAGTAAGTTATATTCACTAACTTCCAACAACTATACAACTTTCAAAGGTCAACCAAAAATTGTATTTACACATTTTATACACTGTATGCATCATACTATGCATGTGATTAATAGCTGCAGCCACCAGGATCGTGTGCAATGTACTTTTTTGCATTTTCAACTACATTAGAGTAAAAAACTGCAAGCAGTAGTTTTCTCATATGATGAGAGTTTGTACCTTATAGTCCTAGATATGTAAAGAGGTTCTATGGGTTTATTTTGCTTGAAGAAGTCACTGTCCAGACACACACCCTGGAACTGTATGGAGGAAGATTTTACAAAGGAATGGAAGGTTTAGTAACACTAATATGGCCCCTGGTTTATTTTTCAGTGTATTTATTGTAATCATTTGTATGAATCAGGTACCAGTAAAATACTTTCTGGTTCCATCTGGTACTTAAATGTTAGTACAGTGGAAAAAGCATGACTATGGGGAGCAAGGGAGTAACAACCAGTCATTTTATAAAAAACGGAAGAACAAAACCAAATATTATGTGTTTTTGTAAATACTGGGTACACATGAGAAACAGTATTAGGAAACAAAGTGAATTGTGGGAAAAATGAATTTAACCATTTGCTTAATGTACAATTACAAAGAAAAGTAGCCACACGTTATATTACATCCACTTACCTCATCATTTTACTGTGTAATAAAAAGTAATAATTGTTCTTCATTCAACTTTTAAAATTTCTGTTTGATCCACCTTTATTTATATGCTATATTATTTCTTTATTATGTACTAGTTGTACCTCATCAGGTGACAATAAAAACCTTTCATAGCTGTGCACTCATGTTTGTTATGAACTGCTTCAGTGAATGAAAAACATGTCTGCAAAGAACTAATTTCTAGAAATATAGTCCCAGTTTTCACCTTGTTCTTATTCCCAATCATACACTGAAGCAGAAGACTTAAATGTGTCAAGTGAGCCCAGCTGACAGTGGGCGTGATCGTCCTGGACAGGCTGTCAGTCTGTCACGGGACTGACAGATTTAGACTCAGGCAACTTAGAGTCACCAATCAACCTAACTGTGGCGATATTACAATAGATACTCACATCAGGAGGAACCTGGAAAAAAGAAGCACAAAGACACACAAAAGTTAGTTCAGAACAAAAAGTAAAGGTGCAGATACCCCAAAGATTCAGTAAAAAAAGTGTCTCTCACCTTGTAGATGTCAAAGGCTATGCTGGGAATATCACTTTTATTCTTCCTGGTGTTTTTCAGCTGTAGCTCCACCACCACAGTGCACTTTCTGGTTTTATCTTCATCCTCAGTCTGGTCCTGCTCCTTGAGAACCAGCTTGAACTGGGGATTCTGATAATATGTGTCTGAGGACAGAAACAGCAGTGTGAAGGACAGTATGATTGCTTGAATGATGCAGGTAGGCTTGTGCAATTATAAAGTCATGAACCTACCCTTGTAGCTGCCACCGGCAGTGCTGCCAGGTGCCCATTACAGACCGCAACCTTTGTAAACAGGCTCCTGAAGGCCTCAGCACTGATCCTGTTAGAGAGGTCAGTTACATCAGATACCATCTTATGGTTTGGGAGAGCTTGTTCACTATAAGTTAACCACATACCAGAACTCTCCTTCTTCTGCAATCTTCAGCTTAACCCTGTCCCTCTCAGCTTTGTCCACATCATCCCAGTCTTCAGAACTGCAGTCACACACACACACACAAAGAGAGTCAACATCTGTGGAGGTTCTGTAACCTGTGAATGAGCATGTTGTCTGCAATGTCCATCTACTCACCTGTCACTCCAGGGTCCGCAATATTCACAAGAACCCCAGGGGTTCCTCACCTTCAGCAACAAAAAGGCTTTAGTCACCTGAAATATAAAGAGAAATAAAAGTAAGTGTCTGGTTGAAGATCTCAGTTAAACAAGGAAAGTTTTTGTTGTCAGTGTTTTCTCCATCCATCCATTATCAACTGCTTATTCGTAGTCGGCTCGCAGGGCATCAGGTAGGGTGGGCCAGGTGTCACACTCCCAAGCATCATTTTCCAGCTCCTTCTGGGGGACACTGAGGCATTCTCAGGCTAGATGAGATATATCATTCCTCCAGTGTAGTCTGGGTCTGACCTGGGGCCTTCTACCAGCTGGATGTGTACGGATGCCCGCCATTGGAAGGCATGGAATGATAAAGATCCAGCCAATGCAGCAGCAATGGGCGAGATTTTGAACCAACCTCAAAGTTGTTAACACTTGCATTAGTAGGACTGGTTTTATGCCATTTTATTAAGCTTTGACATTTATTTTTAGGTGACACAGTGACTTAGATTGAGAATATGTTGCCAGTCTCTCCTGGTGATGCCAATTTAGAACTTGTTCTGACTTTTTTGGAGTTGTGAGCATAGTCATAAACAATATATCTATGGTTGTGAGTGCTCATTATCAGCACTGTAGTCTGTTGGCGTAGACGCTGGTGTTCCAGCTGCACATTATAGCTGCAGAACGTAACAAGCGCTACACCCCATGCTCCCCTTTACTGTCACCTGACATAACCTCAAAAGTTGACGCAGATTGTCCTACTTTGCCTCACTGTATTTTTCTCTCTGTCAGTCTCAAGAGGCTGTGCTCCTCCAGTAGCAGAACACAAACTTGTCCAGTTCTACATAGCCAGTAGTGTTGTTTCTGTGATACTGACCTTGTCACAGTCAACGATGGGGTAAGCATGATTCATTATCAGCCCCGCTTCTTCCACTTTACTTTTTTCAAGGTCGTTGGTGGCCTGTGAAGACAGAGAAAAACTCAAGTGAATCTAAACTAGCATTCACCTGTTTAGCTTGAACATTCTGAGGTTTGTACAGTATGTACTGGAGCCTACAAAGATGCAGCAGCTGAGCAGGCCTCCTCTGGACAGGGCCCCTTTTAGACGTCTCCACAGGTCCTGAGGGGTATGAGATGAGACATCCTTTGAGTATGCAATTCCTCCTGTGAAATCTTCCAACGCCTCTTCTGTATTACCCCATTC